GTGCTTCAAGAAAACTTAACTCGCTTAAAGCAAAGAGAGTTTGAGAAATGACAAGAATGAAAGGAGAAAGCAAGGAAGAGAGAATGAAAATGGTGGTCAATGGAAGAGCTACTAAATGCTTCACATTTTTTCATAATTTTGGAATAAGAGAGGAGAAAGTTTTTTGGAAGTGCAAATAACAAAATAAGAGAGTTACAAGGCTATGTAGGGAAGGAAAAGAGAGTAAAGTGAATTTTTATCATTTTCTTATATTAATTGTTAGGTTAAGTTTACCTTTTAGGAAGTTTGAAAAATTAATGATTAAGATCTTATCTTTGCAAGTCAAGATCAATGATTCACAATTAAAGAGAAAATCTTAAAAAAATGCATGAATTGACTACTTGTCATAAAAAAATATTTTTTGTTATTTCATGATAACAAGTCACATCAATTGTTTCTGCCTCAATTTTCATTTCATTCTTAGTTTTAGAACAAATTTTTTATAATATAACAACATTAAATATTTTTGAGTCCTCAATTATAGTTGAATTTTCTTAAAAAAAAAATTGACGATAAAATTGTATACCGCACTAATTTATAAAACTAATAAAATAAATTAAAAAAATTTAAATTCTTCAAAGAAAATAATTTTAAAATTTTATTTTTTATCTATAAATTTTTTTAACAATTAAATAAATTAAACATATGTTGACAGACGGTAGAATTTTACTTGATAAACATCAGTATTGTTATTGAATAGTCTCAAATAATGTTAGAATTATTTCAAACTAATCTTTAATCAATCGAAAATCATTTAAACTACTTCCATAACCAATCTACTCATACAATCATTTCCTCTATTTAATATATCCACTTAATTACAGCAAAATTTACACTGATTGATTTTGATAGACAAGTAAGTAAAATAGAGGATATTATAATAATAAGTGATTTAAATGACTTAAAATATAAAATTATAATTATCTAAAATTAATAATAAATTTTAAATTTTTACTCTATATAATTATAATCTTTATTTTTCATTTTATATTTATTAACTAGCCTAACAACTAATTTTATCAAACATTTTCAATTCAATTAGCTCACATTTTTTATTTAAGTTTTCAACTTTTAACTCTTTATCTATTTTTATTTTTATATTTTTATTGCACACATGATCTATTACTTTTATTATTTCTTTTTTATTATTATAAAATAATTATATTTATACACTCTTTTTTTATTACTTTTCATTCTTTATTTTTATTTTTTGTTTATTTATTTGTTTATTATTATAACATTTATCACATCTTTCACTTTTTTTCTCTTTTATTTTATTTTTTATCTCTATCTTTGTCTGCTCATCCTATAACCCATTTTGAAGTCTCCCCGTATATTTACTCTTAAATGTATACACCGTGTAGTATCTGCCAACTATTTTTCGAAATAAATAGATGTTGTACGGTTCACACTGACGTAGCATGTAGAATAATTGATAATAAATCATAGTGAGAAAGCCCGTGTCGCAGAAATTATAAATCGCCATCATTTTTAATAAAAAAATGTTTGCGATTTTCTATCAACTTTTAAACTCAAGAAAGTATATAACATGTGTTAAAAGAAAAAGTAACGAAATTTTTATTGAAAGTTTTAGACTTATAAAGAAATGTTAAAGTGGTTATATTAGAAATAATAAATTAATAAAATAGCATAATATTATGATGTTACTTTTTTAAAAAATATTATCACGATATTAAGAAGAATTCTGTAATTTGTATTTTTATAAAAAAAATTAAGCTAAATTTACTTTTATAAAAACTAGCTTACAAAAAAAATTATCTAACATTTATAAAAGAAAATTTAAGTAAAGACAATTAAACATCTTAACATTTAATCCATCTCTTCCGTCTCTTAATGTTCCAGATTAAAATTGAGAGTGGCACTAAGTATATTGACAACGAAAGAAGAATGAAAATTACCGAAGAATTATGTTAATTAATATAACGTTCTGTCATACTAATTTTGGTTTCTAATCGAGGGAGTGACTAAATTTTACGTCATAAAAAGTCATCATCAGTTGACGGTGGATCGAATGACATTGACATTAGGAATCGTAAATCATTTAAGAATTTAAATAACCATTTTTAATGTTTGGTTAATTGTAGTTTGAGTGGTTGACAGAAAATTTATTAAATAGTGACTCTTATGAATACTGTTTACATCAAATATACTAAGTTAAGATTGTAATAGAAAATAGGTTAACAGAAGTGTTGGCTGAATGTAGACAAGATTAACAGTTTTGGTCTTTTCCAACCTTCTCACGCCATTTTCCAGAGTTTACACCATAGAGCTGTCCTTCCCGACCTGTCTTTTTCATGTGAATTGAAAAAAATACCGGTTAAGATTAAATTTTAAAAAACTTATACGTTTAATGGAAAATATATTTTGAAATACAACTTTTATAAATAAATATATATATATATATATATATATATTAAAAAATATAAAATTATTAATATAAGTAGTATATGACATGCATAACTTAAATACTTTATTTAAAATAAACATACACACAATATTTTGGGTGTTGCAATTATATTTTATTCATATTTGAAGTAGCAAACTATACACAAATTATTTATGTACTTTTTATTGTTATATTAGATCAAATAAATTTTTTCCAAAGAACAAATTAGAAAGGTAATTAATTTGATTTTTTTATTAATAATAATATTAATAAATATTAAATTGTGTTTATTTTTATTTATAGATTGTATTAGAGTATTTTTTTCAAAATATTAAATTTTATTAGATATATTCTCAATAATTTAAATGAAAAGGAAAAATAAAACATAAATATTATAGTGTCTTTTTTTATTCATTTATTAATTTTAATATATAAATACATGTATTTTAAAAAATATGTAAGTTATATATGTGGTATATGACTTATATTTAAAAATATATAAATTATAAATAATATGTAAGTTTTTTTAACTTTTAAAATATATATTTTTTAAATTATACCCGTGACCAAATAAAGAGCGTCCCAAGGATCAATCCAAAAATAAACAAAGCAAAAGAATCAAAGTGACATAACAAGAGATTGGCATTTGATAGGTAGGGAATGGGAAATTTTCTTTTTGGTGGTTTTAAGGAGCATTTTATGAAGAGGTGGACCAAAACTTAAGAGTAATGTATTATCTCATTAAATATATTATTACTTTTTTACATTTTATTTCTAAAAAATTAAAATTACCAAAACACATGTAAACAGTTACTCAATTCAATCATGCGTAGTTATTTTGGTTGTGCAATATTTTCAAATTCGAAGTGGAAGACTCATCATCGCAATAGGAGAAGGCCCAAACATGAAAGCATTCTCCTCCGAATGTGCGGTCTATGCCTCTCTCAACTACTCCCTCTTCTTTACACCGTTAATAATTGCACTCATACCTTTCTATTCCCTTTTTTGCAATGTTCTTAACATTGACCTCAACAATCTTGCCACCAAGATTCAGTCTCTCCTCGCTATCCTGTTAATTTGGAGAGAAATATGATAAATTAACATTGGTGGAGTGTAAAATATTGGGGGTAAAAGTAATCAACACGACTTTTTAAAATAATACAAATGTACTCTTTCCAGCAATTTTTTACTTTTTAATTATTGGTGCATATGAATAGGGCATAAAATGTCTCCTTAATCTTTAATTAATGAACAAAATAAATTACCTTTTTTTTAAAGTGAGTATATATTCTATAATACTTTAATAATTTTTATTCAAATTTTATTATAATTGTAATTTATTAAATGTTCTAACATAAAAGTATTTATTTTTTGGCTTTAAATATAAATTTTTATACAAAATTCCTTGTTTATAAATATATGATATTCTTAGCATTGCTTCGTTCTTGAGTACTGTTTACCAACTAAATAGGCTACAGAAACCAGGGATAGATAGTATTTTCTTTGGTTTTTTTTATAAAAAAATAAAATAAATATTTTCTTAATTTTAATTATAAGAAATATATAATATATTTGAGATATATTAATTATTAAATTTCTTATATATTCTTGTTTGTTTGTTGAATATATATTTATAAAATTATCAGATAGTGATTATATTAACTATATCATTTAATATCAAGAATATTTTTAAATAAAATTTATATTTATAAAAAATATAACCAAATTAATTCTTTTTTTGGTTACAGTGATTTAATTTTTTGTTTCTTATATTTATCTCATAATTTTTTATGTAATAAATTGTAGTATAAAGAGAGATATTTAGGTAGAAAAAATGTGAAAAGATGATTAATTTTTTTTAAAATAATTTTATAAAAATATCATAAAAATTTATATTAATAATATAACACTATATTATTTACAGGTTTCATTTTAGCATTCTGCTTGTTGAATGTATTATTTGTGCATGTGAGAAATTGTGTTGAATGATTATGAGTGAATTATATGTATGTATATATGTATTAAAAGTAAATATATTTGTTCATATCTAACGGTTATTTATCAATATCTCATAATTGAAGTGGCAAATGTCTTGATCTTTTTCAAATCAATATTGAATAAATTTTAAGAATTAGAAACCTGCTGGGAGTACTAATTAAATTAAATTATTTTTCTTTTTAATAATTTACGTACTTTTGATGATAAGGATGAATGATTTTGTGGTGTAAAAAAGATACGATTTTGTTTAGAATACATGTACATACCGTTACTAGCAGACCAATACATAACAGTGAAATTAACGCTTAATTGTTCAAATTTCATTACACTACTCGTCATTCAGCAACTAACTTATATATAGCAAAGTTCGACTTAAAGTTCGACTTAAAGAAAGCCTAGGCTCATAATCAAGTTACAGACTTACAACACACTATTAACGTCTTCAAAGTAAGGAAAAGCACATACCATCGAGGCATATATTAGCATTCAAATCTGATGTCAAATGTCATACCATATAATGTTATATAATATGTATCCTGCACTTCTCAAAAGGTTTTCAAAAGCATCCAAGGTGGCAGGAATACAATGGTTCCAGAGTCAAGTCAAGCTCATTCCTTCCTATTTCTGGAGCTTCCTCACGGTAATTACCACTTTCAAAAACAATGTTAAACTTGTAGTTAATAATCAAGAAGAAGAAAATTGAGTTAAATCATCGATTAAAGAATATATGGCACAATAATATTTTGTTATAGAAAGATCGTCACCCCATGTTCAAAAGTGGCTGTGCTAGTAAGAAGGATGCATTAACTCCATGGTTTGGATGCTCCCATTGTGCCTGCTGCGCAGCAACCTTCTCTTTTTCCTTGATCTAATTTCAAATTACAAAAGATAGGGTTAACTACACACACATGTATACATATAAAAGGATCCTTAAATGTTTAAAAGGTGATTTGATTAACGTTCATAAAGAAATGTGAACATTAACATCGTCAATTATTGTAAGAGCAAGAGGAGTATGTAATTTGCAAAATAAGGAAATAAAATGTAACTTAATACCAAACCAAACAAATAGCAAATATAAATAAGCAATAAATAGTAAGTTTGTTACACAAACACACTAAATATCATACATGGGTCTTGGTTATTCATAAAACAAAGTAGTTAAAGTTGTTGGGTTGATGAAATGATTAAGTTTACATAGAAATTAGAGACCCTGCATGCGTATGTCATCGACATTGATTAGGTTACCAAATATTATTTCAACAAGGAGGAAAGGATAATTTTAGGAACTTGGGATCAATCATCAAAATAGTTTTACATTCTTATATGTAATACTAAGAAAAATTTATCTGCACTAAGCAGTATTAAAAAGTAGTAAAATAAAATTTGACGCTCATAAATAATAAAACCCATCTCCATCACCTTCTTTGCAAGCATGTTGTTCTGCTCCTGTATCAGTTTCTCCTGTCACAGTGCAAAGTTGAGCACGTGTCAGTTTGATAGTCTAGAGAGACACGCATAATCATCATAGTTCTCTCTGAAGCTCCTACTGCAACCGTTAAAACCTTGCAGGACATACATAGACCTACATAAAGTTGAGACAAGATTTGAGTAGTACCTTCTTCTGAAGCTCTGAAATGGACTCGTACATGAGTTGGTTCTGTTAAAAAATACAAGTGGATTATCAGTACCAAAAGCCAGATAAATAAAGAATGTAATTGAAATCAAGTATCTATAGTGAGTAGAGTCTTTATGTACTCTGCGTGTACGAATTTGTTTGAGAGCAGTATCTAACTGCTGCTCCAGACTCTGAAGCTCTTTAAGGTTCATTGAACCTAAGTCTTCTCCCATGTAGTGTCTGTATATTATAAATAGTTTACGTGTAGTAATTATTAGTAAGATTAATGAATGTTCAAATCCAACAATGTTCTTCTTTTTTTGAAAAGATAAATAAATTAAATCCAGCGCAGTACACGGTTAGTATCTTACCTATGGTTTCTCTGCAGAAGGTCAATCTTCGCCTTGAGTCTAGTATACTCAATGGTCCAATTTCCCTGCACAAACACATACAACTAGCTGCTCAGCTTCATAACTTTGATTGAGACAAGAATCTTTACATATCAGTTTCAGTCACTGTTACATGATTTCAATCCATGTACACAGGAGACCTACAATTGTTAGGGGTCTTGTACTCTTTTCAATAAACTTTTTAGCTTATAATAAAAGAAAAGTGAGGGTTTAAACGGAAACTACATACAAATAGTAATACAAATTGAAAATGGAAAACGATATGCACCTTATTGTAAACTACTTTTAGCTTTAGCTCAAGGTGGTTTAAATCTTAAATCTCAGGAGGTATTGTTCATTTAATCGTGTGTTTATCCTTACTTTAAAATATCTACTGCTCTTCCATTTAATCTTCTATTTAAGTAAATTTTATTTAAAATATTATTTTATCTTTTTTAATAAAATAATTATAATTTTAATTTTTAAAAAAATTTAAGTGACAATAAATACATGAATAGTAATAGATATACTACGTTGATAAATAATTACCTTTTTAGTTTTCTAAATGAATTTAAAATAAAAAACCATGGTTATTGCATAAAAATTAAGCTTTTGCAAACGTGTCCGATTGACAAACTAGCCAAGTGCTGTTGGTTGATATGCATAGAGTTGTACCTTTGGGCCGATATAATTATGCATCGAATTACAAACCTGTGACTCAGAATCATTTGCAACTAGCTGCCTCTCTGCATAGGCGTACCTTTCATAGCGTTCCAGTATCTTCTCCATGCTGTTTAATAATAGTTAAAACAAAAAAAAGCAATTATAGTTTAGATTTCTCACCTATCATTCACAATCTCACCCAGTACAACATCCTTTCGAATGATAATTTGAGAAAAAGGAAACAAAACAAAACTAGTCTATATGGAACTAAATATATAGATGAAAACTGCAAATATATATAACAGCCTATTATGACAGATAAAATAAACAATTAGTGGCTGGAGCAAACTAATAAACAAAAACCATGCTTATTACTCAAATTAACAAACATTGCATGTTATGATTTTCAGAGTAGTCTGATGTTTGATTGTTGATTGACAAAACGTTATATATATATGCTATTAATTGTAATTTTTACTATTTTTTTTTGTAAATTTTGTAGTTAATGCTTTTATTTAAAATGTAAATAAACTCTCACTTTGGAAACGGGGGCAAAATTGAATGCAAACATGAAAGAGTGTTGCTACTACGCTTTGCCAATCTTTAAACAATCTTTAGCATGCCTGAATATAAAGCATGATTGTTATAATATATATATATACATACATACATATATGTATATATATATATAACATCCCAAAATCCCAAAACCACTTACCTGAAAAAAATGGAAATAAAAGGAACTTTATGCTTTAGAATTTGAAAATACAGCAATAATTAGAACAAGCAGATTAAAAATTAAAAATACAAAATTTGAAAGCAAATATGTAAGACATTTTCCATTTTTATTCTTCTTCATGCTAGAAAATTTTTTAATTAACATGGTTCAACGCCAATAATATCATAATGACAATACTTTAATTTGAAAAAGGCTAAGAAGAAAAAACTTTAATTTGACAAAGAGTAAGCAGGGATAGAATTATTACAAAATGTTTGAAAGCCAATATATATGAAATATTACCAAAAACAAGAAAAAAATGTGAAATGTTTGGTTTCCTTGGTGGCAGGTATACGGATTTAATATAAAATTCCGGTACCAGCCAATCAAATTGTATGAAATTAGAAGTTCGTTTCGTTAATTCGTTGCACGGTTCATCTAGGAAACTGCACCATCAGCTGAGAGGGGACAAGAATATTAGTCCCCGATTAAACAGAAAAGCATGCAACATTCTTGCTTCCATTCAATGATATGTGAAAGGACTTGAGCTTCAAAATGAACATGACACCTAGCTGTTGTAAATACGTGTTGATCAACCAGGTTAAAGCAGCCTACTGTATCGCAAAAGGAGGGAAAAAACCATTATTTTCTTAGAAGGAAAATTAAAAGTACGAAATTTGAAGAGATGGTGCAGGAGAAGCAACTGTTGCTTCGAGGTCCTGCACCGAAAGGACTTGAGCTCCAAAGTGAACTTGACAAGTAACCAAATACTGTCACTCCTGACGCAGTTTCCAGAAGGTTAAACACCCCATCAAGATATTTCAACCAAAAAATTATACATAGAACTCAAACAAGGGTTTTTTTTACAGCATTACCGCGTATGCACAAAATTCTAACGTAAAATGGGAAGAATTTTTGAATCAAAAACAAAAAGAGCAATAATATACCAAAAAAGGATTTATCTTGTCCATAAATAATTTTCCCATGTTTCTAATTAGTGAAAAATATGCACAACCGAATATTACAAACAGAATGTACTTACTTATAGAAATAGAAATAGAAATAGAAATCCATTTACACTCAGTGTGCCCTAAAATTCTATGAAAGAAAACCATATTCTTAGAAGAATTATTCTTCCCTGTTAGTATGTGTAAATGGTATACGTTCTTTCTTTCTGCCGTATTTATTAATCTTTAAAATAAAACCAGACAGCTTCTTTTGTGCACAATCACAATATATAAAGAAATAAAAAAAACTTTATAGGCCAAAAATAAGATATGAGAAAAATAAATGAGGAAAGCAGTTTCTCCTTCATCTTTCTAAACAAAAACTGAAAAACCCTTCGCAAACGAAAAAGAAAAAAAGAGCAAGGTACGAAAATTTAATAAAATTAAACAAAGGCTAAAAAGTTCGACACTTAATGTTAAAATAAATAAATAATACATATAGATCTCTTTCACATCACACTGGCTCAGTAAGGATAGAGTGTGTGAGAGAGAGATCTACGAAATTCATACGATTTATATATATAGTAAAGTATAAAATATTTACCTAGAAAAACTGTTATATAAAGATCTATGAATTGTACATGATATGATGTGCATAATATGTAGTGTGGTATTGTATAAAATAATATTACCAAGAATCAGTAGCATATTCAAAGAGCTTTCCTTTGTGGGAGAAGACAATCAAAGCGACCTCAGCATCGCAGAGCACAGAGATCTCGTGTGCTTTCTTGAGTAACCCAGCTCTCCTTTTGGAGAAAGTAACCTGGCGATTGATCTTGTTCTCTATCCTCTTAAGCTGAACCCTACCCCTTCCCATGTTAGTGTCTTTTCTTTCCCTTTAATTATATTATACCTAATTTCTTCTTTCCCTTTTATTCCCAAGAAAACCCCAAACAAGGAAAAGGGAACAAACCCCAGAAATATGCTTAAAATGCTTGCTATTATAGCGAAGCGAGGGAGAGAATGTTAATTTATGGATCTTTCTTCTTCTGGACAAGTGTGGAGGAGTGTGAGGAGAAACCACAGTGAGTAATGTGAGTATGCTATGCCATTATTTTTCTCTATCTATATACCATTCAATTATAATAATAATAAAATTGAGGTTTGGCGACAAGTGGTTTTGGTTTCTGGTTTGGAAAAAACCAGGGCAGTTTTGTTAACGTTGCGTTGTCGAACGGTGATTGGTTGGTCAGTTACCATGTTGCTGTCTGTGATAACTAACAGCCACACATTGATATCGCTTTGCTTTTTGGGTTTTGTTTTCGCTTTCGGATTTTGGATTCTCTTTTGCTCAGTGGTTTGAACTTTCAAGCGTCTGTTGGTTTAAACAGTGTCAATGTCCTACGGATCAGAACATTACGTGCATCCTTTCATTGACGGCGCCACGACTCACGAGTATTGAACTCTGGTCCATCTCTTCATCCATTGTATATTGAAATGGTTTTGTTTAGGTTTATCTTTCTGGATTGACCATTTTCAACAAAATCTCTTTCTCTTTCCATGAGTACCTTCCTTTGTATTTAAGGTAATCCTCTTTTTAATATTAACTAGCTCTTAGAAATGTGTTAGTGTATGTCATATTGTCACTTTCAGTCTCTTTAGGTAAATATTTTGTGCACTTGGGTGAATATCTGCTCACCTGAATATTTTCTTTTGCAGACATGCAACGTTTAACCTTAGAATTGATAAGCGAGGTAACCGTATTTTAAATTTAAGGTTAGAATAAGAATTGTGATCAATATCGGCATCCGCCTCCAGTTAAAAACTGAAGCACTTGAGGGTACCCGCGAACAATACTTTAATTTTACAGATTTCTTAATTAAAATAAAGAAGTAAATTAATTTTAAAATATGAAATAATTTTAAATAATTTATGTTAGTTTAATAATAATTATTATTGAATTAATAAAATTAAGATAATATTTTAAAATTTTAAAAATAATAAATCAAGATAATAATAAAACTAATAATATTGCATCTGAAAAAATATTATTAAATATTTTTATGTTTATGAAGAATATGAAATTTAATGAAGTTTTTTTTATTTTCTAAATTAATTAAAAAATTTAATGAAAATGTTAACAAATATATTATTTATTTTTATGATTATGAAGAATAAATTAATTTACAAAATTATGATACATAATAAATTGATAATGATATAATATATTTTTAATATTTTTTAGTTTTAGTTATTTATTAATAAATAAAATAAATAAATTTAAAATATTAGACTAAAAGCAACATGTTGATTAAGTAAAGTATAAATAAAGAAAAATATCTTTTATTAATGTCATAATTTTATAATAATAATAATAACAATAATAATAATAATTTCAGTATAAATATATAAAAAATTATATGGTTATGTCTGTAAATTAAAATATATTATTTTTTTATTGTTATATAAACCAAATTTATTTTAAATAAAATATCATACATATTAGAACAATAGTGTGAAAATAAAATTGTATAATTTAATATTTTCTAAAGTTAATTAAATTAATTTATAATGTTTGATACACTAAAAAAAACTATTTATGATAACATTATTTTTTAAAATTTAAAATAAAATTTATATTATTTGATGATCTCAGTAAACTATTCATCGTTATAAAATTTAAAAATAATAATTATAACAATAATTTATTAAAGATAACAAAATTTTTCAATACGAGTTATAAAATTTAAATAAAATAATTTATATTGTTTGACTTATGCATCTGTATATATATTTTTTGAACTAATATTATATAATACATCGTTTATATATAGTTATAATTTAAAATTCATAACAAATAGTTTATTATATAATTATTAAAAGATGATATAAATTTTTTTTAAATTAATATTAATAATAATATAAAGAAAAGTAAAAAAATACAGCAAATAAGTTAAAAACAAAAATAAAAAGTATATTTATTTCATTAATGTATGAAATTTTAAAAATATGATTTCAATATAAACATGTGTTAATACTTAAAAATAAAAATATATTAAATTTTTTTATATAAATAAATTACTATAAAAAATTATAAATAAAAACTAAGAATAATGTAATATATATTCTTAATTTATAAGTTTAGTTGTTGATCAACAAAATAAAAAAATATATATATAGAATTGAGTTTTTTTAAAAATAAATAATTATTCTATATTGCTTGATAATTTAATAGAATTAATATTGATTAATATTATAAATAAATTAATTTTATTAAATAAGTTATTAAGTATAACAAAGTTATGTTGTGTGAGTTATAAAATTAAAATAATAAATTTATTAATTTTTCTTATGTTTTTGTTTTTAATTTTTAAAATAACTAATATATTTTGTTAATCATTTATTATTTTAATTAAGAAGCATTATTCTCCGTGTTTGTGATTGAATGCTCTTAGAAAGAATCTCAAAAGTATTAGAACTTTTATTACAATCTAAAAATTTTGAATAATTATATAGTTAAAATATAAAATGCTAATAAAAAAAATATAATTTGATATGTTAATATAAAAAATATTTTTAAATATTTTAAATACTAAAATTTGTCTTTTTTGGATTATAAGTCTTTTTGTAGTTGTGAAAATTTAGAATTCATATTCACAAAATTTTAAAAGTACTTAAAAAAATGTTTAAATGTGAAAAAAAATTAAAAGAATAAAGAACTCTAATTAATTTTTAAAACAATTTATATATAGAAATTAAATACAACCGTCGAACTTAATTCAAAGTTAAAACGTTATATTTTTGTACTTATTTATTTATTTTTTATTTTAAAAATTTAAATTTGTTATTATAATTATAATATAAAATATTATCTACATTAATAGGTTATACACAATTATGATATATTAATTTTTATTAAATTATTTTTAAAAAAATTAAATGATAGAAAAAAAGAAAACAAGAGTAGTTAAAAAAAATTTAATTTAGATTTAGGTAAAATCTAAAAAGAGAAGAATGATTTTATTTAATACATAAAATTATTCTTTATATCAATTATAATTACACATGTTGATATAATATAAAATGTATGAGTCACATATAAAATATAGACAAATGTTATCTTAAGAACAAAGTCAATACTGAGGTGATAATATATATAATAATAAAGTAAGAGAGAGATATATAATAAGAATAAAATTATTATATAAAAGATAAAAATGTTTAGTCACATTTTACTTTTCAGATCCTACAATATTTTAAAAGTACTTATACAATAATGCAATAAAAATGATTTAATCTTCTATTGTTGCCTTTTATTTAGCATTGTTTGTTTTGTCTTCCTCAAGCTGTAACTTAAAAGAAAATATCAAATATAAATTATTGTATGAACTAAAAAAATTCAAACAATACATTATAACTTTATAATTTATACATTAACTTTGTAACGTTCTTATTTTATTTATACAATCTAAGAAAATAATTTTTATATCGAAAAGAGGAAATTAAATTAAATTTACTTAATTTAGTTCAAACCTACTATACAAGCCAACTATTTTGAAATAAAACCAGCTTTACTTCATTTAGTTCAGTAAGATCAATTTTTTGGTTCAATTTCGGATGACCCTAACTTACATATCTCTAGCTTTTTGCGGCTTTATAACACAATAAGGATGAATGGAGTTAGTGAGGATGCAATTAGATTGAGATTATTTCCATTTTTCTTAAGAGATAAAGCAAAGTGCTAGCTGCAAGCTCAACCACAAGGAAGCATAACCACTTGGGCAAACCTTGTTAATAAATTCCTTGCCAAGTATTTTCCACCATTTAAAGTTGTCAAACTAAAAGGAGAGATTATATCATTTGTGCAGCAAAAAGGGATCTTTATATGAGGCTTGGGAGAGATATAAAGAGCTATTGAGGAAGTGTCCACACCATTGCATAGCAGAATGGATGCAGCTGGAAACTTTCTATAATGGAATGAGTTTAGCCACTAGAAATATGATTGATGCAGCTGCGGGAGGATCATTGAATACAAAATCATTGGAGGAAGGTCAGCGGATTATAGCAATGATGGCTTCATCTATGTATCAAAATTCTAATTCAACACACTCTACAAGGAGTAGAGGATATGAAGCTAAAATTCTTGAGACTTTCCTTGCGCAGGACCAGCTGTAAAACCAAATGTTGTTAGAGCAAATTGTTGCACTAACTCAACAAATAAGCAATTTACAGACTGCTCTAATTCAGAACATGCAACTTGTTTGTGATTTTTATGGAGGAATTCATGCTAATGGTGCATGTGATGCACCTACAATTGAACCTTAAAAGCAAATTAATTATATGAGAAATTTTCAAAGACAACAACCTTCATTCCCACCTGATTTTTAGTACTCTAATAGCAGAAACCAGCAGTATTATAATTGGAATTCTCAAAATTTTACTGCAAAGATTTCTAATTCTGCTTTACCTTTTTCTGGTGCAAGTCCAGCAACACAACAATCTTATTTTCAAGGGAATTCAACTACTCAGCCTCAAAGAAATAAACAAATTTCTAAGAATTTTCCATAAAAAAGCTTGAAACTAAAATTGGACAGCTGGCTGAACAACTGTCCAGCAAAGAAGAAGGGAGGTTTCCTATCAATATAGTTGTCAATCCAAAAGAACAATGTCAAGCTGTAATGACTAGGAGTGGGGCTGTTGTGGGGAGTCCTAAACCTGCTGAAAAGAGAGAAAAAAAATCTATTGAGGAAGAGAAGTTGAAGATGAAGGAAAATTCACTTTGCTGAAAAGAGAGAATTCAGAAAAAGAAAGTTTTTCAAGGGCTGTGAGAAAGACAAAAATACAAATACTTGAGGAAGTAAATAAGCCTATTGATGA